ACTTCAGTCTGTCGACCATTTGTTGTGAGCGTGTATGCCGGACCCTGTAAACGGGTGTTTGTGAGAATTTACTTGCGGCCACTAATTTTGGAATTGAATGATATTCTGATAGACGGTGTTGTTCTGCCTACGGGTTCGAGGATCTGATGTGATTTGAAGGCCCTTATATGTGACATACCGGCACGTATGTTTGTCAGCAAGTAAATAGTTTCACTGGCTATTACAGCGGTGCTAAATGTGTCCAACGCCCGTCTATATGACAATGATCATATGACCTACCATGAACACTTCCATCGGGGAACACAAGATCGCCATCATATCAGTACCTCAGCATTTGAGTCCCTCCCCATCGATATGATTAAATGTTTTACCTTGGACTACATGCACCTAGTTTTACTGAGCTTCACAAAGCGCTTGCTATCCTTATGGATATCCCACAAATGCAGTCGCGAACACCGCATTGGACGCCCCAGTATCTGTGACACGTTAAACGTTTATTATCTATGCATACCTCAACTTCCATTGATTTCTCGTGTAAATGTCGTCCTTTAGACGATTTTGAACTTTGCAAAGTCACGGAGTTCCGTTTATTTTTACTTTGTTTAGTTCCGGTGGTGCTAAAACCTATCCTACCTGATGATAAATATAAACATTCCATGAAATTATTTATTGCAATGTATTTACTTCCACATCTGTTGTACATGCACTTTATTTCATTTGGTAAACCTTTGTTACGTTGTTTTGCTTACGACATGGGCCATTTATATGGTCCTGAAGACACTATATAACGTTTATTGTTTTTATATACTTATCTGATGACGTGGAAGTTCATGGTCCACTAGATACGTTTTCTGCTTTCTAATTTGAAAGCAACATGAATAATATCAAGCATTCTATATACGGCATTGTTAAATCAGTGCAACAACTATATCGCCGCATTATGGAACGTCACACGTATCCTGTCATTTTTGGACCTCTCCACGTTTTTGATGATTTTGGTTTACCCGTGAAATGATCTTCCATTTCACGTCGATTTTTTAAACTTCTCAATGGCTTGTACAGTACTAAATTGCCTGATAACTGTGTTATTATTAACGGTGAGCCTTGTATTTTAGTTACTTGAATTGATTGTTCTGTTTCTTTTCAAAAGTTTTCTTATTTGTGATAAGCTTATACACTCATCTTATTTTATATATTTCTTTTCACAAATGTACACCTAAGCTTCACTGTAGACATTCGATGTAAATGTGTTTTATTATCTGTAACCAATGGCTCCGTTTGTATTTCTATAACAGTCTACCGATACCAAGCATCAACCAGTCAGTGTCTGTGTATTCCACCTCGTCGCCAGTAACATTAGACGTTTGAGGAAGAATTAACTTTTATTCACCAAACATTGCGTATGATATTTAAATTGAATTCATAATATTGTATATACATAGAAGATCATCCATTTGCACCACGCCAACCTCCGCAGAATTACAAACCAATATTAACAAAATCACCGATAAATCTTTAAAGATTGTTACGTGTTATTTATTTTAGATAATCTGCGGGAGATGCGAATGGAAATGTGTGGCATTTGTTAAAAACTTGGATTTAATACACAGAAAGATCGATGAGCTGGTGTTAACACAGCAGCCTACAGCAAGAAAATTCGCCACTGTAATCAGACGACCATGTTTAAGAGAAATTAAAACACAATACTACATACAACAACCTAGTAAGATGAAGTCTGTAATCACATTGCTTTTCTACAGGTCAATCATTTGGTTCACCTTGGTGGCAGGGATCTCACGCACACCGGCAAGCGTGCAATGAGCCTGGCGATGCACTACTCGTTAGCTTCAGAGATCAACTACACTCGGAAACACTCGAAGCTTAGGGCGTCCGGAATGCAGTGTATGCAGGCCATTTTTGGTAAGCGCATTAAGTTGGTTGATTTAAAATTAACCGGATTCTATCATGAGTTCCGACCGATTCCCAGGACTCACAAGTCACTCTATGGGGATGGAAATCAAAGTATAGCTGGAGAACACTACGGACACGATCATCATATGCAATAATCACGAAAACACCACCTTGTTGTACATTTTTATAACACGCATTTTCAATAAACAATTCTTTATGGAATATAAGTTTTATTTGACAGTAAGTGTATGGATAAGTCATGGGAAAGGTCGTTAAGGCTTTAGGCAGATGTGATAAGCAATGCGTTTCGTATTTGGAATAATAAAAAACGAAAATTGGGTTAAAAAAATTGTAGCTGACGAATAGCACGCTATTCGCTGATGACGTGCTACTTGGGTAAAAAATAGAAAAGGATGTTTTAAAAAGTAGCTGATCGTTACCGGCTATCAGCACGTTATTAGCCAAAATCGTGCTACATGGGCAAACCCAAGCAGCACGAGTATCCCTCTGAGTGTATCAAAGGGAGACCACCGATTGTTGTCTGAGTGTCCTCCTCGGGGGTCCCGTTTGAAATATGCACAGGGACAGTGATAATTATGAAGCACCGTCAATTGATAATCACATTTTATTATTCGTATTATCATTAAACTTTGTTTTTACAACATTATATATATATATGACCACATATGTGGTCATTCTCTTTAAGTTCGAAGCCAAGCACTTACCTCTTTTTCTGTTACTTTCCTTCTATGCCGCTCCTCTCTTTCTCTGATCTGCCGTTCTTTTTCTTCTTGTTCAGCCTGCAACCGAGCCTCTTTTAAAAATACACAAGGAATAATATGTGTATACCCTCTTCAAGACGTCTCCGTTCTTCCTCTTCTCTCTTCTTCTTTTCTGACTGAGCGGACTTTTTTGGCTAAAAAATTATTGAGGAATATGCTTCCGACGATATAAATTGTGAATCAGCCAAACACCAAGGAAATTAGTATACTCACCATGTTTCTTCAAAACGTAGATTTATGTTTCCATGGCAAGGTCATTTGCAAACGACGGCGTAAAACACGTCAGATTGCACAGGACTGGTAGTGGCTCTCGAATATGCGTCCACCTCCGCGATCGGTCGGTTTCTCTTTCTATCTAATATCGCAATTCCTGTTTCATGTTCGCGGACGACGTGAAATTAGCTGGAACAAATCTAGAGTGCGATGTAGAAGCGGTTAGACAAAGGTCGCTTCAGTGGGACTTACCGTTAAATCGCGAAAAGTGCCAGCTCTTAATAGCAAGTGCAGATATTCTTAGGGACGGGCAGCTGGCACTGCAGCACACGGATGCAGTTAAGGACTTAGGAGTCACTCTCACGAAGAATTTCAAGCCTGAAACACAATATCTGAAGGCAGCTAATTAGGCTCGTGGTGAGCTCTTCAGACCGTGTGCTGCCCTTACATGTAGAAACGCAGGGGTTTTTATACCTATCTACAAGGTAGTAGTTCGCCCCCACTTAGAATGGGCACCATACTATTAGAACGATATAGCATGCTTAGAGAAGGTGCAACGACTTGCTACCAGAATGGTAGCTTGGCAAAAGGTAAAAGGCTATAAGCGGCGATTGAGAGACCTAAATATCTTTTCGCTGGAACGTAGGCGACTGCGAGGAGACCTGATAGTAATCTTTAAAATAGTCAGAGGGCCATTAGGACTCCATGCAGATTTACCATTCATAGGCAGGATCGGCCTCTAGCACCAGGAGGAGTAGCCTTACTCATAAGGAAGGACATTGTACACATGGTTTGCGAAGTTTCGATGAACCTGCACAGTGTCCAACTATGTGCTGTAACTCTACTGTTACCGGATTGCAAAATTACGATGGCATGTCTACCGATGTCCCGGGGCTGAGACTTCAGATGATCGGGCATTGATTGATGCACTGGATCTATTAGTTCAAGGATCAGTGAAGCTGTACATAGTTGATGACTTTAACTTACCAGATATAGGTTGGATGGCAGATAGGTGCACCGAAGTTAGTCAGGCGGAAAGGTGTTTAGAGTGGATATACACGAATACACTCATCCAGGATGTTGCCGTCTGCACGAGCTTCAGAGCTCAGCAGGAACCGTCCCTACTGGATCTCGTCATCTCCAAAAGGGAACAAGATGTAATCACTGTCAGTGGATATCCATCGATAGGGAAGAGTGATCACTTCCTCATCGGGTTCGATATCCGTACGAAGCCACGCGTACGCAGATTACGGATGCATAGAGATTTTGGTAGACTGAACATAAGTAGGCTTCGGGAATACACCACACAAATGCCGTGGGTTCTCGAGCATGACACCACAGACGACGAGGAATGCTGGGTGTTAGTCAAACAAAACCTCCTCAACCTCCAGGATCTTTTTGCTCCGTTAAGATATGGGAGACACAAGGGAAAACCGTGATGGTGGCGGGCCGCAGTAGCCAGGGCCATTAGGTACCGGAACCGAAACTGGCGGGCCTACCAACTAGCCGGCACCCATAGGTCGTGGGTGCAGTACACCGCCCACAGAAACGCAGTGGTTAACCTGGTGAGGGAGAAAAAAAGGTTTTTCGAAATGAAGCTGGCCCAGAAAGTAAAGCTGGAGCCAAAGAGGTACTACGGGTATGTCCAGTCCAAGGGATCTACCAGAGAAGAGATGGGCCCACTAGTACTTGAGGGAGATAGGGTTGTAACTGATAACCAGAGTAAAGCTGATTCACTCTGCGCTTACTTTAGTAGCGTGTAAGGGCTAGACGCTGGTGATTCAACTGCTTCTCAAACTTTGGAGACTGACGAAGTGGAGGAACTCCGGGTAACGGTCAAGCAAGTATCGGAGATACTAGGCTCTCTCAAGATGTCCAAAGCGACAGGACCGGAAGGAATTAGCCCAGCGATCATCAAACCGATTGCTGATTTAATTGAGAGGCCGGTTTGCAGCCTTTTTAGGACATCACTACCTGAAGGGAGATTACCGGCTGACTGGAAAACAGTCTATGTAGTAGCCATACACAAAGGCGGTAAGAAGACAGATGTTAAGAACTATCGACCTGTTAGCTTAACTAGCGTACTATGTAAGGTACTAGAAAAGATAGTTAAGACGCATCTGGTGAAGCCTCTGGAGCGTAACATACTCATGACAGAGGCACAACATGGTTTCGTTGAGCAACGTTGATGCCTAACAAACCTACTGTGCTTTTTGGAGGATGTTACTGCAAAAATAGATGAGGGTAAAACCGTAGAGGTGTGCTATCTGGATTTCAGCAAGGCTTTTGATTCAGTAAATCATCGCGTGTTGTTGACAAAGTTAGAGCGATTCGGAATCCAAGGACAGTTTCACAGGTGGATAAGTGCCCTCCTCTCAAAACGATCAT